GCAACATGAGGGTTCCATAAAAATAATCCAGAATTCACTGGCATGAAATTTCATTTTACACACAGTAATCTGAGTCAGAGTCAATCACCTGTCCACTGAATATGCTTCATGGCAATCTATCCTTGCCTACAGATAAATAGAAAAGTGAAATACTGAAAATATACGTCATTCCTTTTGGGCATCCGAAAAGAGAGAAGATAAGTTTATGTTTTGAATAAACAAGCTTTGTACGTGTAGGAGTCAAAACTATTTAGGTCAACTGACAATGAACCATCAGAAATAAACTATAAGCTAGGTCTCACAAACACCATGTACTTCCATCTTCCTCAAAAAGCATGTGCAGGCATGTATATGAAGTTTTGAACAGCACTTTGACAGATGATGCCATCTATATTCGCTTAGGCTTGCCTATTGTGCCCTGAGTACCAAAAGAGCTGGAGTGCCAATTCTGCAAGGTCAAAATAACCTGAGTGGCAAAACAGAATAGGGTGGTTGACATGAGATGGGACTCTTGCCATTAACTAACCGTAACAATAAAAAGGAAATAATAAATTTAAAATGTACTATCAGTAATATCAGTCTGCAGGGTAGTGGGTGCATGCCTTAGCTGTTGATTGTATTTCCACAGGAGTCAAAACTGAGATTCCCTAATTGTTAAATCAGGGCTTATGAAAAACAATGGTTATTTGATCAAGTTTGAAGAGAGAATCAGTCAGAATAATGAAATACTTCCAAAGGAATAAAACAGGCAGGCTGTATAATGGACAACGGATCCATGATCTCTCATTTTACATGCAGACACAAAAATTTTTTAAAAGTCTTGGCAAAGACATCTTCATAATTTGTTATCACTGCTATGTCAATATGCTTTGTGAAGAAAATTGGCATGGAACAAAACAGGAAGATGAGTATTGTACAATCTTTAGGTGGGGCCATACCTCTTGCTTATCTGCCACTGCTTTTTCATCTAAATACATCCAAAGGGTGCAATGTGAATATTATGTATTTGCTGGTTTGCTCTTTTTGCTTTAGAAATTGAATATCTGATTTAACTCAGAGGCATGCAGAGATGACACTGGTAAAATCTGCAACAAGTGAAATAACTCTACAGAGGCTGGTATCCCATCACCAAGTCACGCCTTATTTATACATGATCAGTCCTTGACGATAGTACTACCTCATTCAGAGTCAGGCACCAGTGTGTCAGTATCTCTGACACTCAGCCTTTGTATGTCAGCCAGGGTTCCCTGACTGGACCAGATTAATAACCCCAATCAAGGAACTCATATTCTATGAGGTCCAGCTGTCTGACCTCGTTACAATCACTGCATACAGATTTATCAGGGTATTTATGGTGCAGCGGTAGTGTCTCTACCTCTGAGCCAGGAGGCATGGCATCAAGTTCCATGTGCTCCAGAGGTATGCAAGAACATTTCTGAATAGGTTGATTAGAAAATACCTATGATAGATTTATCCACAGTTTTTACAAATGACTCAGCACTTACAGGATTACTATACGCAGATGGTCTCAGCCAGAACCTGGATTTTTCCGGAACTTTCTGTAAGTTTTCAGTTACTTAAGCTCTCTTGCTCTACCTGCTGGCTTAAGCAATTAAATACAGGAAATATAGACCAGTGAACAACCTAACATAAGCAAACATATGTCAATTAATCACAACAACAAACTCTTATTCTAAAAGCTATTTTGCTCACTCAGGCCTATGCCCCAATATTTATCATACCATAGAATAAGACAATACAGAAGAGGCCCGTTCGTCATCAAGTCTACACTAGTCCCATTTTTCTGCATTTGGCCCATAGCCTTGAATGTCATATTTAAAGTGCTCATCTAAATACTTTTTACAGGTTGTGAGATTTCCTGCCTCAACTACCCTTCCAAGCAATGCATTCCAGATCCCACTTGTCGTCATCAGAAATGTCTCGCTAACGAGTGTGACTGTCCACCTAGGAAATTTCATGTCACTATCATGGGTTCAATGGGTCCTTGCTGGGCTGATGAGCCCAATCATAGAGCTGTATATCTGACTGCACATTTAGTAGGTGTTTCTGCAAGAGGGATTTAGTCCTTGGCCTTGAAATTGCTGGCATTCCTTTCCTTGGTTCCTTTTCTGTACTAATGTTTTGAGAACACCCATTAGCAAGAATAGTGTCCCTTCATACAGAAGCTTCCTCCAAGAAGGTTTCTCCTGAACAAAGTGTCTCTCACATAATGACATCTATGTTGCATTGAGGGAAGTCTTCAGGGAGTTTCTGAAATGCTTCCTTTGTCCTTCACTTGTTCAAGTATCTTCCTTGAAATAGTGAAGATGATTTGCTTTGGCAATTGAAGTCAGGCATCTAAAGCATATAGCTGGCCCAGTGGAGTTGGTTTTGGATGATCATGGTCTCGACGCTCGTGCTATTGGCTGCTTCAAGGACACCGATGTTACAATGCCTATCTTTCCAGCTGATCTGAGAATCCATCTCAAACAGGGTTGATGGTAATTCTCAAGAGCTTTGAGGTGGTGTCTATACATAGTCCAAGTACAAGAGCCATATAAAAGAGTCAGAAAAATGACTGCCTTGTATACAAGAAACTTGGGATCAGCATGGATTGTTGAAGATGCTTATCCTTAGGCGTTCAAGGCAGCATTTGCAGATTGAATGAGAGGCTGAATTTCTGCATCACCTTTGATGAGAGGTGGCTTCCCAAGTAGGGGAATTATCTCATGTTTTGGAGGATTTCTCAATTGACTCTAATGATGGGAAGTTCATTGCCCAAATCCTCACTGATCCCTTCCTCAAGTCTCGCAGGAAATCCTTCCTGAAAGCCAGTGTGGTGTCAAACATGGAACTATGAACATGATTTCACTGCTCGGCAACTTCAAGAGAAATGCCAGGAACAACACCAACTACTCTTCATGAACTTCACCAATCTGACCAAGGTATTTGACTCAGATCAGTCTGGAAGTACTATAGAAGACACTGTCAAAGGCCAGCTGTCCAGAGAAATTCATGAACATTTTCCATCTCTTCCACGATAAGATGTGGTCAATGATCCGCACTAACAGTAATATGACAGAACCCATTAAGAGGTCAAGCAGGATTGTGTCATTACCCCATCTTTTGCGCCATCTTCATTGTCACCATTCTTCATCTTGTCAAGAACAAGCTTTCCAGTAGCGTGACCATTGCATTCTCAGAAATAGAAGATATTTGGGATGGATGGGAAACTTCTGAACATCAACCAGTTGAAATACAAACACTGATCTTGCTTGTGGAACTTCAGTACGCAGATGACAACGTCACCTCTGTGCTCTCGCAATAGAATATTCAAGCCTCAATTTATGTCTTTGCAGAAGCATACTGAAGAAGAATTGTTCTCAACCTCAACAAGACTCAAATCTTTACTAACCTGTCCCACGTTAAGTTCCAATCCATCCCTCCACCACAATCAACGGAGAAATCCTCCCAAACACTTCTTTTTTTTCAGTTCCCTCTAAATCCACCACCTTTCACTTTAAAATTATGCTCCCTTATTCTTGATCCTTTAACCAGGGGGAAGCAGCTGCTTTCAACTCACCCTGCCAAACCTCTTCTAATCTTACACACCTCAATCAGGCCCTCTCTCAGCCTTTTCTGCTCGATAGAAAATAACCTGAGCTTATCCAGCCTCTCTTCATTGATAAATTGCTGTATCCTTGGCAACATTCTGATGGATCTCCTCTGCATCCCCAAAGTGCAAACACTTCCTATACTGCAGTGACCAGAACTGCAGACAGTACTCCTTTCCTTCCTTTTAAGATTGCACCAATGCTTCGACTATTTCTACTTTTGCTTCTTTCAGCAATTTAGGATGCAATCCATCCTACCAACTTTCAGTAACATGAATCATTTTAGAACACGTTCTTTAATAGCAACCAACTACTAGATTCTTCTCTCTTTTAGTATAATATTCACAACCTTCCCATATTAAAGCAGAAACATATACTGAATAAATAATATTTATGGCATCGAACCTCTTTACACCCATGCATTATGGTGATCTCCACTGGCACTGTGAAGACAGAAATGATGACTGGTGGGAATTGCAAATAGGTTGTCTTGTGCACCTTCCTACTGAAACATTTGATGCTAGGCAAGATGAAAGCAAAGTGAAGGAATGTATGGTTGGAATGACCAGCACATCATTATAGCAGAGGGTATTCTACATAAGTATCAGCATATCGAGGGATTGGGCTGAATGATCTTTTTGTGAGTCGTATGTCTACATAATGTTGTTTGTCTACGCAATTATTGTCCTGGTATTTCTAAGCAAGTACGTCAGATATTCACATTAAATCATAGATCAGTGAGGATGGAATGATGACAATCATGGAATAAATGGGGAACCTGATAAACTTTGTTAAACTTTGGAAAAATAGAGTTTTGAGAAGTTGATATTTACAAATCGATGATAAGGTCATCAAGAGCTTTGCTCCAATCAACTTTGGTGGTTTCACATATATGTAGTAGTAAAGTTTACTAGCGGATGGTTCCGTTAAGAGCAGCAAAGGCGCGTTGTCTTGAGGCTACCTTTGGCCAAAGAAGAATCAGCGCCTGAACACAATGTGTTGTGTTGGCATAAAACAGACACTCTAGAAACACTTTTAGTGTGTTCGGACAGTTGATGCGATTGATAATTAAGAGTGCTCATCCTCTCTGACCTTCCGCATGTTCACTTCTTCCAACTGAGGTGCACGAGTGACATACACTGGTTCTGAACTGGTAATCCTGTAAGACGCTATAACAGAGCCCTGGGTATATAAAACAAACTCTCCATCTGAAATAGCAACAACTGACTGAAAGAGCCTCGAAGGCATATTACGGGTATTATTAAGGGTTCGATCAGCCTGGAGGAAGCTGGAAAGTCGCCCCTGATGCTGTTGTTGTTGGAGGAAGTCGATCGCTCGCCGTATCGCAATTCCGAGCTCCGCGAGCTGTGAGGACCAGCCGAGCCGCCGTCCACCGCGTGTCGGTTGCTGCGGGCAACCAGCGGCTGAAGGTAAGGGGGAGCCATGGAGCGGCAGAAAGCAGCCCGGGACTTCAGTCGGTTGGTGGAGGACAGCAAAAAGGTGAGGGGTTGGGATGGACGGCCGGGACACCGGGATGGCAGGCGGACCGCAGTCCCGGTCAGGCTAAAGAGCCGAGTGACCACGTTCGTAGCAGATGAGAAACACGAGCCACTGCAGGGATGCTGCAGGGTCGTGGGGAAGGGGAAGGGCCTCTCCTGCCGGTTCAGGTGATGATGCGTCTGCCGTCGGGCGGGCATCAACCATCTCAGGGCACGATTGAAGAAGGGGAAGAGACGTCCTGGAAAAGCTCAGCAGGGCTGATAGTATCCGTGGAGAAAGGCACGAGTTTATTTCAGGTCAAGGGCCACATATGCTGTCAGACCTTATGAGTATTTTCTGCTTTTATTTTAGATATCCAGCATTTTGCGTCATGTTGTTCTACAGTTGTCTTTGCTAACGTTGGTTCCTTAAATAATGTCAAAAGCGATGAGTTAATCACTGGTTTTTGCTGCTTGTGGGATGTAGCTGTGCGTATATGTGTTGCCACCTCTCCTACATTTCAACAATATCTACCTTTCAAAAAGGTACTTCACCTAGAAAGTGCTTTGGGTCAGCCTGATATATTAAATGACTATTCTTTTTTTCATTACAATGGATTTGGGGAACATGGCCCTGACTGACTTAAGGGCAGCTGACAAATCATAGTGAAGTTCGTCTAAGATCATAGAATCCCTCGAGTGTGGAAACAGGCCATTTGGCCCAACAAGTCGACACTGCCCCCCGCAAAGAGCATCCCACCCTGACTCATTCTCCTACCCCTGCATTTCCTCATGTCTAACCTCAACATCCCTGGACACTACAGGCAATTTAGCATGGCCAATCTACCTAGCCTGCACATCTTTTAACTGTGGGAGGAAACCCACAAAGACACAGGGAGAATGTGCAAACTCCACACAGACATAAGTCACCTGAGGGTGGAATCGAACCTGGGTCCCTGGCGCTGTGAGGTAGTAGTGCTAACACTAAACCACCATGCTGCCCAAAGTTAACCAAGTTCACAAAATAACTGCAGAGCTGGGTTTCAGATTTCACAGTATCTGATGTCTTTAGGTTCAGTAGCAGCGGAGCAATTTCCAAATCACTCACTGCTTCAAGACACAATGGTACACTTTCCATAATCTGGCCACATAGGCTCTCAGTCAGAATTAAAACATTTTAAGATGGTTTCATGCAGGATTTCTTGTCACATAAAATGCATAAAATCTTTTAAACACAAGTTTTTCCCCAAGCTGTCCTTCATCTTTAAGGCTCAGTGTGTCTCCTGACACTTATGTAAAGATTTGAACAATAACAGCAACTTATATTTACATACAAACATACAAATTAGGAACAGTAGTAGTCCACTCGGTCCCTCAAGCTTCCCCATTGTTCAAGATTGTCCCACAAGAGCAAAGATTATTTCCACATACACCCTAACGAGACCAAGATCTTATGTTTCAATGAAGTTGCCTCTCATTCTTCTAAACTCCAGCAGATAGAAGCATGGCCTGTGCAACTTTCCCTCATATGCAAACCCATTCAAGGAATGTGTCTAATAGATCTTTACCGAACTTTTTTCCAACGTATTCACATCCATTCTTAAATAAGTAGCCCAGTACTGTACACAGTATTCTAGATTTAGTCTCACCATTGCCAATATTGAAGCATAACCTCCTTACTTTGAAATAATTTCCCTGGCAAAATACGATAAAAATTTAGCTTTTCTAATTTTTGTTGTACTTGAATACAAATCCTTTGCAATTTGTGTGCTAGGACACCCAAACCTTCTGCATCTCAGAGCTCTGTAGTAATTTTTTTTATTCTTCTTGCCAAAATGGATAATTTCACTTTATTTTAAAAACACATTATACTAGATTTGCTATATCTTTGCCCACTCATTTAACCAATCGATATCCCTTTGTAGCCTCCTTATGTCTTCTTCATATCTTATTTTCCTGCTTATCTTTGAGTCATCAGTGGATTTAGTAACCAAACCTTTAGAGTCATAGAGCTATACAACATAGTGGGCCAAACGGCCTGTTTCTATGACTATGCTGACCGACAAACACCAAACCACACTAATCCCATTTACCCGCACTTGGTCCATAGCGGACTGTGCCCTGGCATTTTAAGTAGTCATCCAGATGCTTCTTAAATATTGCAAGAGTACTTGCCTCTACCACCCTCTCAGGCAGCACATTTCTATGAAATCTACTACCCTCTGGATGAAAATTGTTTTCTGAGATCTCGTCTTACCCACTTACTCCTCCCCTTAAACTTAGGTCCACTGGTCTTAGACACATCTGCCATGGGGAAAAGATTCTCATGATCTATTCTGTCTCTCAATTTTGCATACCTCAATCAGATCCGAACTCAGCCTTCTCTGCTCCAAAGAAAACAAACCCAGCCCATCCAGTCTCTCCTCATCCCAGGCAACATCCTCGTGAATCCCCTCTGCACCCTCTCCAGTGCAATCATGTTTTTGATTGTATGGAATGGAGTGAACCTATTGAATGGTGAAGTTTCAGGGAGACCAGAATTGAAGCTGCCTGGCCTGCTGTGTACCTCCAGCTCCACACTGTGTTATCTCAGAATTGAACGCAGTATTCTAAAAGTGGCCTAACCAATGCCCTGCACAGCTGCAAGATGACTGCCTAACTCCTATTCTCAATGCAGTGACCGATAAAGACAAGTGTACTAAACATCTTCACTACCCTGTCTACCTGCAACTCAGCAGAAAGAAACTATGAATCTGCACTTCAAGGTCTCTTTGTTCAGCAACACTCCCCAGGACCTTACCATTAAGAGTATAAATCCTGCCCTGATTTGCCCTGCCAAAATGCAGCACCTTACATTTATCTAAACTCCATCTATCACGCCTCAGTCTATATACCCATGTGATCAAGGTCCCATTGTACTCTGGAGGTAACCTTCACTGTCCACTACACCACCAATTTTGGTATCATCTTCAAACTTACTAACTGTACCTCCTATATTCGCATCTAAATCGTTTATATAGATGACAAAAACCAGTGGACCCAGTATTGATCCTTGCAGTACACTGGTGGTCACAGGCCTCCAGTCCAAAAGTAACCCTCCACCATCATCCTCCATCTCAGATCTTTGATAGAATTTTGTATCCAAATGGCTAATTCTCCCTGTATTCTATGTGATCTAACTTTGCTAACCAGTCTACTATGTGAAACCCTGTCAAACGCCTTACTGAAGTCCACATAGATAATGTCTACTGCTCTGCCTTCAATCTTCTTTGTCACCTCTTCAAAAAACTCAATCAAGTTTGAGAAATAATTTGCCATGCGTAAAGCCATGCTGACTATCTGTAATCAGTCCTTGCCTTTCCGAATAGACTTACATCCTCAGAATCCCCTCCAACAATTTACCCACCACTGACATCAGGCTTAGCAGTCTGTAGTTCCCTGGCTTTTCCTTACCACCTTTCTTAAATAATGGCACTACATTAGCCAAGCCCCAGTCTTCTGGCACCTCACCTGTTGCTATTGATGATGCAAAAACACAGCAAGGGGCCCAGCAAACACTTTGAGTTTCCCACAAATTTCTAGAGTACATCTGATCAGGTCCTGGGGATTTATCCACCTTTACGCATTTTAAGATGTCCAGCACCACCTCCTCTATAATATGGACACTTTTCACTATTTATTTCCCCAAGTTCTCTCGTTTCCGTATGTTTCTCCACAGTAAAATACTCTTTAGTATCTCACCCTTCTCCTGGGGTTCTATACATAGACAGCCTTGATCTTTAAGGACCCTATTCTTTCCCTAGTTACTCTTGTCCTTAATGTATTTTTAGAATCCCTTTGGATTCTCCTCGCCCCTATCTGCCAATGCTACCTCGTGTCCCCTTTTTGACCTCCTGATTTCCTTCTTAAGTACTCCTACTGCCCATAAACTCTTCCAGGGATTCACTTGATCCCCGATGTCTATACTTGAAATGCTTCCTTTTCCTTGACCAGAACCTCAATTTCTCTAGTCATCCAGCATTCCCTACATTGACCAGCCTTGCCCTTCACACTAACAGGAACACAGTCTCTGGACTCTCATTATCTCATTTTTGAAGGTTTCCCACTTTCCAACTGGCTTTACCTGCGAATATCTGCTCCCAATCAGCTTTTGAAAGTTTTTGCCTAATTCCATCAAAATTGGCCTCCCCCCCCCCCCCCCCCCCCCCTCAGAACTTCAACTTTTTCATCAGGTCAATCATTTTTCACAATTCTATTACTTTTGAAATAGTATGATCACTGCCCCAAAGTGATCCCCCACTGACAGTCACTTGCCCTGCCTTATTTCCCAAGATTAGCTCAAGTTTTGCTCCTTTTCAAGTAGGTACATCCATGTACTGATTAAGAAAATTTTCTAATAAACAATTAAATTCCACTCCAAATAAGCCCTTAACACTATGGCAACGCCAGTTAGAAAAATAAAACCCTACCATTACAATAGATAACAGACCTCCTTACAAGTTTGCTTCTCAATTTCCTGCTGCATATTGTGTGTGTGTGTGTGTGTGTGGGGGGGGGGCGCGTGGGAAGTAAGGTGATCATCTCTTTGTTTATCAGTTCCACCCAACTAACTTCACTGGACGTACTCTCCTGAAATATCATATTACAACATAATGTTATCCGAATCCAAAAATGCTACTCGTATGGGAACTATACCCTGGAACATCTCATTGCCAGTCCTGTCCATCTCAGCCATATTTTTGTAAAAGCTATGATAGCCTAGTCCCATGTTCCCAATCCTGCCCCGAGTTCCTCTGCCTTACCTGTCAGGTCTCTTGCGTTTAAATAAATGCAGCTTAATTTATCAGTCCTACCTTGTTCTCTGCCTTTCTCCTGCCTGCCTTGATTCTTTGACTTGCTCCTTTTTTCAGCTGCGCCAGCCTCAGACTTATCTCCTTTCTCAACTATCTGTCTGGGTCCAAAATATTACTATCCTCAAAGACCTACTTTTTTAACCTCCTGCCCAATTTCCTATATTCTCTCGTCAAAATCGTCCTTTTCTCTTCCTGTGTCATTGGTACCAACATGTACAATGACCTTGTCCTCCTCCTCTGAGGATATTCTGCACCCTGAGACATCCTTGACCCTGGCACCAGGGAGGCAACATGATTCTGATGTCTCACTGTCAGCCACATGATTGTCTGTCTGTGCCTCTGGCTAGAGAGTCCCATATCACAATTGATCGCTTGGAACCTGATGTACCCCTTATTACAGTAGAGCCAGTCTCGGTAGCAGAAACCTGGCTGTCAATCCTAAATTCCCCTGAGAGTCCATCACCCCCTATGTTTGCAAACAACTGTGCTGTTTTAGAAATGGGAATAGGCATAAGAGACTCCTGCACTACCTGCCTACCTTTCCTAGAGGTATCCTATCTCCTCAACTGTATCTGCAGTTTATCTACTTTCCTGAAACTGCCATTCATCACACCCCTGGCTCCTGTAAATTCCCAATTGCCTCTAACTGCTGCTCCAGCCAATCCATGTGATCCAATAGGATTCACAGCCAAACACTTCCTGCATACATAATTGTCAGGAACATTAGGGAAAATTTCAAATCTCCCACATCTGACAGGAAGAGCACACCACTTTATGAATGGCCATCTTTGCACTCCAACAATCTACAGACCCAGAAAATAGCACAGTGTTACTGCTTTAAAAACACTGTTTGGGGATAACTTAGTACCCATGTTTTATGTTGAAAAAAATTTTAAGAGGCAGATCTCAATAAAATAAATACATAAGAACACTGTTGTAGATTTACAAAAATCGTTAAGACTTATGCTTCTTTAAAATGACAATTTTTTAGCTGGCGGTAGGAAGCATGTGACCATTGGAGCTATTGTGACAACATATAACATTTTAAAAATATTATGTTTAATGTGAAACATTCAGGACATCTTATATTGTTCAGGAAATTGATACAGTGCAAATTGCCTTAGAGAAACTACGTGGACTCTCTCAAGATGACAAAACAGAAAATGCCTTGTTACGATCTCGAATAGATGAACAGTCACAACTCATCTGCATCCTAAAGCATCGAGCAGATGAATTCTTATTGCGTTGCCAAGCTTTGGAGACAATTAATACTGAGCTGGAGAACCAGCACAAGGATCTCAAGCAACAATTAGAGAGCCAACTCAAGCAGTCAGCTCAGCTAGAAGCACGATTCATGGACCTGGCATTCAATCACCAAGAAATTATCAAATTCAAGGATGAATATAAGAGTCAGAACACGGAGCTCAGAAAGCAAAATGAAAAACTCCAGAGAGAGAATGAAAGTATTTTCTGTAAAGCCCTGGGTCAGAAAGATGATGAAATATTGAAGCTCTCTAATGAGTTGGGAAAATGTTTAAAGCAATGCAAGGCACTCGAACAGGAATGCAAGTAAGCAATATGAATGATAAATTATTAACAGCGTATTCTGAAATTAAGTATAAATAAGTAATCTGTTGTTATAACATTAATTTTAAAGATTGTATCAGCGTGGATCATGATTTAAAAGAATGCTCAAATGTCCAGTTACTATCAGGTACGCTACTAAATGCCTACCCAAGCAACTTGCTGGTTTTCCCACCTCTGCACCTATCCCCAGAGTCCTCATGAAATTCCAGCTCTTACTTTGGTAACTGTCCCTACCTTTCCAATATGGCCTGTTGGCCTTCTTGATTAATTGTGTGGATTGTATCCTCCCACTGAGGGGACCCTAGAACTTAGGGGAATGATGTATGCGAAAGTTTACCTACCATGATCTTTATATTTATAAAGAGGCAAATGGGATTGAATGTAATTGTTTAAAATTACAATAGATTTGGACAAATTGGATTCAAATACAATCATTTAATATTAAGAGAATCTAAACACAAGGAGCACACTTATAAATTAAGGACAACAAATAAAAAAATAGGAAATGTAGGAACAAACCTTTTTATTGAAGGAGCACAGGTATGTGAAACAATTTACCATCATTGTCAGGCTGTTGTCAATACATAAATGCAGGGTTATCCAAACTGTTGATGGATGCCTGACATGGTTTTCTTCTGGCTGCACTCATACTGTTAATTGATGTCATGTTTTTTTGGGTGATTCACTAAAAACTAATGATTTGATTATGTTTGTTGTTCCTGTATTTCAGTGACATAACACTGAATTTACAGAGAAAAGAAAGTGAGTTCTTGGAGCAGAAAACCAGCACAGAGAAATTTTATCTGAATGAAGTGCAATCATTAAGAGCAAAGCTGAAAGAATCAGAAGATCGATGCAATGGTATGTATTCAAAGACATATGCAATACTATATTATATGCAATTCAATTTATCAGAGTAAATCTGAACAATTGGAATAGGATACTAGGAATATGTACACTAACATTTAAGAAATGACTTAAATCACCAAGAAATAAACTTTTCATGCAACCTTTACTCATATTTACCAGGATTTACATTTTAAGAGTTCCTTAATTTTGAAGCATTTGACTGCTTTGTGTAAGTGGCAATGCACATGCACTATTCGGACTTTGAATCACCACCTTAAAATAATTTTATTGATTTACAGTTTTGATTGTTGATTATTGATTATAGTTTTAGGTAGAATTGAACAATATTTTAACATGATTATGACCAAAACAGGCCTTTTATTTTTGTACCTTTTCCATTTGGACTACTTAGTTATAAAACAGCATACTTGAAGTTGCAAACATATATCAAGGTGAAAATGTGACTTGATACATTGATATTTGTACCTTTCTAAATCGGAAATGTGGGCTATTTTAAGTGGCTGAACTGAAGCAGAAAGAAGCTGAAGAAAACAGATGTCATGAAGAAACAGAACTTCACCATAAATTGCATGAACTGTCCAAGGAGAAGGAAGAACTTCTGACACTTTCCATGCAGCGAGGGAAAATAATACAGGTTAATTTGAATATAAAAGAGAATATCAATTTAAATTACGGAAAAAGTAGCTTCTAATATATATTAATAATTCCTAGTTTATTCCTTATATTCCTAAGAAACAAAGCTTAAATTGTTTACATTTTTAAAACATTACCATTTGTTTAATGTCCTGTAAAATTGCGATTGGTCAGAGGGTGCAGCCTTTTATACAATGGATCCATTAACCTCTGCAATTGCCATTTCTATGCCCAAAGATAGAAGTTTTTGAATCAGCAACATACTCGATCCTCCAATTCTCCCTCATCTTGATATTACCTCAACAAAACTATTTGGATTCCTCTGCTGCTCTCCTGGTCAAGTTTGCTTTTGCATTCATACCTTTCAAAAAGAATGATTAATTTTCTCTTTGTAGAACTTTGTCATTTGGGTACCCAGGATAGTCTCTTTCCTTATTCTTTCACACAAATTATTTTTTATTTTTTCCTTCTCCAAACACAAAAGGCATTTCTTTTGATATTCCCATTCTATCTTTTCTTTTCTCCTGTTTGTTGGGATGCATTGCTGTTGTAGTTCAATCATCAGAGATGCATTCCTGTCTATGCACATAGTAAGAGTAGCTTTGTTCACATAGGCAGCTGTTCTCAAACTTCTTCACGATAAGCAACAACATTTCAAATGTTCTTGTTTTAGTGTATGAACTTTGGTATATTTCAGAAGAGATTCTTGCGGATCTGCTGATACCTGTGAATACATCAAGGAACTTTTACTTATTAGAAGTCTGATTTCTGTATTATTGTAACTTACTGAAACATAGGACAAAGAAAAGAATGTTCAGCAACTGGAGGAGAAATTAAGATTAGCAGAAAAAGCAAGACAGGAAGCAGAAGATCGGTAAGGAAACTGGAAAATAAACAATTTACTGTAAGACCTACTATTGATTAACATTAAAATTTCTGAAATTTTATGAAACTTAACAAGTTTACAGGTTGCGATAATTTTCAGTTTTCTTGTGTATGTATTTGCAAATGCAGACATTTATTAATTAACATTATGTATCTATAAGCATTAAATAATACAAGCTTAATGATACTTCAGATAACTACATTAGTGAGCGGGATCATTCGGGCGCTATATCATCCAAGTATCCCTGCCCCCTTCTATCTGTCCTTTGACAGCCTTTTATTATGAAATAATGTTGTTTTATAGGGCTCCAAAGTAGCTAACACTGGCTTGTCCTTTTCCAGTAAAAATTAGCGCTCAGCTTCAGTTTTTTGATTGTCGTTTCTATATCTGTTACTTTTCACAGCAAGAAATACTATTAATCTATACAATGAGGGTAATCCTTAACGTCCTTTTGGGCAGGAGTGTGGATAAGGTAATATTGATTATAATTACAGGGTATTACAAAATAGAAAAAGGGCCATTCAACCCATCATGTTTACACTGCCTCTCTCAAAGATCTCTTCAAATAGTTGTATGCCAACTCTCTTTCATAGCCCTTCAAGTATTTGTGCAATTGCCCTTTGCAATGGATTCTTGAACCTGTTTCCAGCACTGTCCTTTTGATATCATAAGTCAATACATGGTGTTTCTTCCCCTTGTGATATCTCTGGCTCATTTTTCGATTACTTTGCATCTGTGTCCTTGGATTACATATCCTTCTACCATTATAAACAGTTTCACCTTATTTATCAAAACTATTTGTATTTTGAACATTCTATATCTTCCCTTCATCTTTTCGGCTTTGAAGAGAACAATCTCACTTTCTCCAAACTTTCAACATAACTGAAAACATCTCACGGAACAACTCAGTAAATCTCTTGGGCACTTAAGGCTTTGACACCTTTCCTAAATTGTGGTGTCCAGAATGGAGTGCAATACTTCAGCTTGAGGTTGAACCAGGGTTTTATTGAAATCTAACATAACATTGTTACAGCATTGACTGCAAAAACAATAGCTTATAATAGGCTTCTCAACTTGTCCTACTGAAGTGACATATGTGTACATCCCCATGTTTTTCTATTCGTGTGCTTTCCAAACTGTAACATTTCATGTACATTGCCTCACTTCATTCTTTCCACTTAAATTTATCTGCAACTAAAAAAGAAGTGATCAAGAAGGCATACATTATGCTTACCTTCATCAGCCAGGGCATCAAATATAAAAGTTAGCAACTTATGTTACAGCTGTATAAAACTTTAGCTAGGCTACATTTGGAATACTGCATGCAGTTCAGGTCACCACAGTACCAGAAGGATGTGGATGCTTTGGAGAGGGTGCAGAGAAAGTTTACCAGGATGTTGCCTGGTCTGGAGAGTTTTAGTTATGAGAAGAGCTTGAATAAACTCAGATTGTTACCACGGGAAAGACTGAGGGGTGACCTGATAAAGGTCTACAAAATTATGAGAAGAATCGATAGGGTGAATAGTCAGAGGCTTTTTCCCCCAAGGTGGAAAGATCAACTACAAGAGGGGATAGGTTCAAGGTCAGAGCAGGAAGGTTTAAGGGGCAAGAGCGAGGAAAATTTGTCACAGAGAATGATGGGTGCCTGGAACGCACTGCTAGTGGAGATGATAGAAGTAGGCACATTAGCAATGTTTAAGGCACATATTGATAGACACATGAACGGGAGGCGAACAGAGGAAGAGAAACCAAGCATGGGCAATACGTATTGGGTCTAAATAAGCATTAGGAATCAGCACAGGCTTGGTAGGCCTTAAGACTTATTCATGTGCTGTATTGTGTAACATGTCTGACCCTATCTGTCAAGTTACTATATTTCCAAAGTTTTTGAATCAGAGTTTAATATGAAGTACTGTATGTCTATGTCCATGTAGTGAATATATATCAACAAGATTGAGAAAATGTGCTAGACTGATTTTTTTCTTAAAGACACCCTCCCAATCAATTATGATTATCTTGGACATAGAATGGGAAGGATCTTTCTTCTTCAGAAGAAAAGTTAAAAAGATTTGAAGTAATTAGTAGATTAATTGGAAAGGAGATCAGAAAGTTTTCATGATCTTTTCAAAATACTTCAAGATGCTGTGAAGTGCTGTAAGTTATGGGCTATGGACTAAGAACAGGAAACTAGGGTTTGGCTGAATCACTGTTTTTCAATCAGCGCAGATACTTTGGGCCAAAAGACCTTCAACTGTGCTGTAAATGTTTTGTTTCCAAGGTGCCAGTACTTACTCCTTAGTGCTACCCACTACACTCTTCCTTCTCTTTTGAGAAATAACTATTCAAAATAACTACGGTTTTCTGTGCCTTAACCAATTTTGTATCCATGTAGCTATTGTCACTTTACTCAGTTTTCAATTTTGCTACCTGGTCTATATTATGGGAATTTATCCAACACTAGGGGACACTCTTTCTACACATCAACCATACTAAGCTCATCAAATCTTCTTGTTATTTCATTAATGCCCACCCCGGTAGAGCCCTCTTATACCCATAATCCTAATCCTCAATACCCACCCATATGCTGCCATGGACCCAATACCTGCTTACCTATCCCATGACCACTCATCTAGTACTCACTATGTAGAGAGCTCTTGAGCCTTATAATAAAATGTTTTTGAAGTACATGGAAACCAGCAAAATAAACAGTCTGTAAATATTAATCTGAAAATAAACCATTATCCTATTAAATAGTCATAAAATGCCAAGAAACAAGTTATTCAAAATCTACTTCAATAAGTGATAATCCCATTAAGTGGCCAAAAGAAAAACTGTCAAACTGCCTGTCTCTCAGGAAAGGGCAGAAGTTCTTGAATTGAGTCCCACCTCCTATTTTTAAAGCCTGCCTAATATGGGTTGGTCCTTTGTTGGTTGGGGAAATCTGATTTATTAACTCCATTTTCCTGTCGAGAAATGCTGTCTGAAATATTGAGCATTTCTAGCATTTAGTGGTTTTTATTTCCGATTTCTAGCAGTTTTTTTTTGCATTTTATTAGTTCTTAAACAGTAGCATATGCATCTTAGTAGAATAGTTGAGTTTTAACATATTGAGACAGTACCTCATGCTGGAAGATTTCAATCCATCCAAATCCTTTAGGAGATTGTCCCACATTCCATCTTGTCAACTTAGGTCAACTTAAATAATTCATTTTCAAACTTTAGACAAAAAAGGAGTTGCAACTATTTTTTAATGGAGATCAACCAAGAAAAGCAAGGATGGAGTAAGTCACAAAAAAAATCTGGAAAGAAAACCTATTTATTGTGAGATCCAACAATGTCTCAACTGAAGCTTTTATGAAATTAATATTTTGTTGTGAAGCTATTATATTTCAATATACTTCCCATTTGTTTTGAACATAATTAATACAAAATGAGAAACTATGGGTGCAACCAACAGTATTTAAATCACAGCTGCTATAAAAGTACATCATTTTCTGACTGTACGTTCCCTGAATCTCATTACCAGGTCAGCTCATAAAAGAATGCAGGTTCTACAGCAAAGTGAGCATAGACATGGGAGGTTTTCTCATTCTTTTTCATGGTTACTACACAACTTGTTAATTATTTAGGAGACAATAGAAAAATATTACCATCAAAGTAAAATTAAAATTTGTTAGGCATAGAAAGAAAATGACATGCAACTAATTTAATAGGAACTGCTCATCCATCATACAATTGTTACGTGTGTAAACCGATTCTTGACCATGAAAATACAACATTGCTTTGAATGAGAACGCTTTCAAATTGTTTGGTCAAAAATAATTGTATTTCTGTGACACGTTTCGTTGAGCAAGTGCTTTATATTTCAGGTTTCAATATGAATCTGCAGTGGTAAATTCAAATGTAAAAGTCAAGGAGTTACAGCAACAGTACCAAAAATCTCGAGAGGCTTATGCTGACTTGGAAAGGGTAAAAGTAAACTCTGGCTATAAATCTGAACAAACTTATTTTTGTTACTTGCACCGTCACATATTGTGCATTATTCTTGAAAGAGTTACACTTCCTGTCAAATATGGAGATAAGTATCTCTCAAACAAATCACTTAGAGTAAGCAACCTACTGTTTTAATCAGAAACGTGTCTGTCTTTCAAACTTAGAAAAGTGCATTTCTTTTCTAATATGAAAGTATTTTATGTTAGAGAATAGCATTTGTACATTGCTTCAAATATACCAACATTCCACTTACATACAAATATACAAAATAAGTCTAGAAGTAGGCCATTTGGCCCTTCAAGCCTGCTCCACCATTCAATAAGATCATAGGTGATCTGTTTATATCCTAAATTCCCATCTATCTGCTGATAATCTTGGATTCCCTTGCCTAACAAGAATCTATCTGCTGCCTTAAAAATATTCAATGACCCCACCTCCTTAATCTTAGTGAGGACGAAAGTTCCAAAGTTGTACAACCCTCTGAAAGAGAGCAGTTTCCCTAATCTGTCCTAAAAAGGTGATCTCTAATTTTCAAACAGCGTCCCCTAGTTCTGGGCTCATCCACAAATAGAAACATCTTTTCCATATCTACCTTGTCAAGCCTATTCGGGATCTCTTAAATTTCAAGTCCCCGTCATTCTTCCAAACTCCTGTGAAAGCAAGCATCAATCTGACAAATCTTCTCTGAATTGTTTCCAATGCATTAGCATCCTTCCTAAAGTATGGAGACTGAAATTGCACAAAATATTCGAGATATGGTGTCACTGATGCCTCATATAATTGCACAAATAACATCCTTACTTTTATGTTCAAATATTCTCAATATTCCATTAGCCTTCCCAATCACTCACTGAACCTGCATACTAACTTTGTGTGATTCAGATTTCTCTGCACTGATTTAACAATATTCCTCCTGCCAAAGTAACAACTTCAACATTTTCCCATTTTTACTCCATCTGGCAGAGTTTTGCCCACTAACTCACCCTATCTATATTGATCTACAGAGATAGTAGGAACTGCCGATGCTGGAGAATCGGAGACAAAAAGGTGTAGAGCTGGATGAACACAGCAGGCCAAGCAGCATCGGAGGAGCAGGAAAGCTGACGTTTCAGGTCTGGTCGGACCCTTCTTCAGAAATAGGGGAGGGGAAGGGGATTCTGAAATAAATAGGGAGAGAGGGGAAGGCGAATAGAAGATGCATAAAGGAGAAGATAGGTGGAGAGGAGACAGACAGGTCAAGGAGGCGTGGTTGGAGCCAGTAAAGGTGAGTGTAGGTGGGGAGTTAGGGAGGGGATAGGTCGGTCCAGGGAGGACGGACAGGTCAAGGAGGCGGGATGAGGCTAGTAGGTAGGAGATGGGGGTGGGGCTTGAGGTGGGAGGAGTGGATAGGTGGAAGGACAGGTTAGGGAGGCGGGTACGAGTTGGGCTGGTTTTAGTTTGCAGTCGGGGGAGGGGAGATTTTGAAACTTGTGAAGTCCACATTGATTCCATTGGGCTGCAGGGTTCCCAAGTGAAATATGAGATGCTGTTCCTGACCTTTGGGTGGCATCGTTGTGGCACTGCAGGAGGCCCAGGATGGACATGTCAACCAAGGAGTGAGAGGAGACAATAGTATCCATCCAAAAGCTACACTGGCCGTATCCACCTGGAAACCGATATCCATTTCAAGCCTACCGAGATGAGGTATTCCACTCCCGGACATCCCAGATGTCCTTGTTTTTCAAGGACCGCAACATCCCTTCCACGGTGGTCGAAAACGCCCTCGACCGTGTCTCTTGCATTTCCCGCAACTCATCTCTCACACCCCCTCTCCGCAATAATAACCAAAACAGAATCCCCCTCGTCCTCACGTACCACCCCACCAACCTCCGGATCCAATGCATCATCCTCCGACACTTCTGCCATCTGCAATCCGACCCCACTACCAAAGACATTTTTCCCTCCCCATCCTTATCTGCTTTCCGGAGGGACCACTCTCTCCGTGAGTCCCTTGTCTGCTCCACACTCCCCACCAGCCCACCACCCCTGGCACTTTTCCTTGCAACCGCAGGAAGTGCTACACCTGTCCCTACATCTCCCCCCTCACCCCCATCCCAGACCCTAAGAATGCCTTCCACGTCAAACAGATGTTCACCTGCACATCTGTTAATGTGGTATACTGTATCCGCTGTTCCCGATGTGGCCTCCTCTACATTGGGGAAACCAAGTGGAGGCTTGGGGACCGCTTTGTGGAACACCTACGCTCGGTTTGCACCAAACAATTGCACCTCCCAGTCGCGAACCATTTCAACTCCCCCTCCCACTCCTTGGACGACATGTCCATCCTGGGCCTCCTGCAGTGCCACAACGATGCCACCCGAAGGTTGCAGGAACAGCATCTCATATTTCGCTTGGGAACCCTGCAGCCCAATGGTATCAATGTGGACTTCACAACTTTCAAAATCTCCCCTCCCCCGACTGCATCCCAAAATCAGCCCAGCTCATACCCGCCTCCCTGACCTGTCCTCCCACCTATCCACTCTTCCCACCTCAAGCTCCACGCCCATCTCCTACCTACTAGCCTCATCCCGCCTCCTTGACCTGTCCGTCCTCCCTGGACCGACCTATCCCCTCCCAAACTCCCCACCTACACTCACCTTTACTGGCTCCATCCCCACCTCCTTGACCTGTCTGTCTCCTCTCCACCTATCTTCTCCTTTATCCATCTTCTATCCGCCACCCCCTCTCTCCCTATTTATTTCAGAATCCCCTTCCCCTCCCCCATTTCTGAAGAAGGGTCCAGACCTGAAACATCAGCTTTCCTGCTCCTCTGATGCTGCTTGGCCTGCTGTGTTCATCCAGCTCTACACTATATTGATCTACATCCTGGTTTTATCATCTTCACATCCTTTCCTGTTTTAGGTGACAATGCTTTTTTTTCCCGTTAGTCACTCATGGGTTGGGGGGCATTGCTGGCTGGGTGAGCACTTATTTGCCCTCGAGAAGTTGCCTTCTTGAATCGCTGTAGTCTGCATGCTGTGAGTAGACCCACGATACCATTAGGGAGAGAACTCCAGGAGTTTGACTCAACTAAACTGAAGGAACAGCGATCTATCTTCTGGTTTGGAATGGATTTTGCAAGTGTTGATGTTCCCATGTATCTGCTGCCTTTGTCCTTCTAGAAGAAAGTGTCTGTGGGTTTGGAAGGTACTGTCTGAAGATTCTTGGTGAAATTCTGTAGTGCATCTTGTAGATGCCACACACTACTACTACTCAGTCTCGGTGGTGAGGGAGTAGATGCATGTGGATGTGCTGCCAGTCAAGCGGACTACTTTGTCCTGAATGATGTCAAATCGCTTACGTGTTGTTGGAGCTATACTCATCCAGGCTAGTTGGGGTGAGGGTGATTCCATTACACTTTTGACTTGTGCCTTGATGGACAAGTTTTGTTGAGTCTGGAGGTCAGTAACTGTACAGGATCTCTAACTTTTGACCTCCTGGTCGAAGGGAAAGTGTTTATATGGCTACTTGAATAAGATGATTAGTAAAGGACTTTTCCCCAGGGTAGGAGAGTCCAAAACTAGATAGCATTGATTTAAGGTGAGAAGAAAGATGTGAAAAGGGACCCAAGGGGCAACTTTTTCCCCATAGAGCGGTGCATGTACGAAATGAGCTGCCAGAGGAAGTGGTAGAGGCGGGTATAATTACAATATTTAAAAAGTATCAAGATGGATAGATGAATAGGAAACGTTTAGAGGGACACAGGCCAAATGCGACTAGATTAACGTAGAATATGTGGTCAGCATGAACGAGTTGGACTAATGGGTCTGTTTCCATACTGTACAACTCTGACCACCGCAGAATGTTTACATTGGGATAGTCAGCAATGGTAATGTAAATATATGCCTAGGAGCAATGGTTAGATTCTCTGTTAGAGATGGTCATTACCTGGCACTTACCTTGACATGAATGTTGCTGAACATTGTGCAATCATCAGAAACATTCCCACTTCTGAAGTAAGGATGGAAGATAGATCATTAGTGAAGCAGCCGAAGATGTTTGGGCCAAGGACACTACCTTGAAGAGTTTCTGGAGAGATGTTCATGAGCTGAGATGACTAATTTTCTACAGCTACAACCATCTTCCTTTGTGTTAGGTTTGACTCAAAAGGCAACAGAGTTTTCTGCCTGTTCCCATTGACTCATTTTGTTAGGACTTCTTGATGTCACCATCAATCAAATGCAGTCAAAAGACACACACCTCACCTTTAGAATTCAGTTCTTAGTCCAAACAAGAATACAAGATTCAAACGATGTCAGAAGCGGAGTGGTTCTGGTAGAATCCATATTGAGCATAATTGAGCAGGTTCTTGCTAAGCACTGCTTCATAGCACTGTTCACTACCTCTTCTATCACTTTGCCAGTGATCAAGAGTAGATTGATGGGGCAATAATTGACCAGGATGGATGTGACGTGCTTTTTTGTATACATGTCCTGGAGGTCCTATTGATTGGACAGCACCAGTGCAGATTTCCTCCTCCCGCAGACTTGTAGTGGAGGCTATGACAACAGACCATAGCAGCTGGTCTGAGTTTCCCAGCTTGGTTAAAACACTCAGTCATCCTGAGGAATGTATAGTTCTGTAGGAAAATCAAATTTCCTTCTCCGATCCACCAGGGTAAGTGCCACCATCTTGTCTCCAATACCTAACACTTACTCTTACACCAAGGATCATGCTCTACAACTACTGCCTGCAAAATCTTACCCAGTTGCTCCCACCCCAACCCCTGACATCACTAAGCTGCATGCCCTCTGCACTGCCTACTGACTTGGTCAAGACACTGCACTAGTACTAAATTTAAATAGTGGTGCCACCCACTTTCATCTCCTGTAATACATACCTCTTATTCCATGGGAAAAACAGCCACAATTAGGTAGAAGTGTTTTATTGGGGGGGGGTTGGTGGGTTGTTTTTGTGCTGTCCATCATTCAGCTGGTTACCCCAGGAGATGAAGATCCTGGATGTGATGACCCAAGCAGGGCCTGGACAGGTAATGGAGGGTGTCCTTGACTGATTGTGCCACAAAACCCAGAGTAAAGGCTTGATCTTGATGACTGAGGCATACTGCCACCTATGAACAAACTTCCTGCATTGTGTCTCTGTTAAGGAGGACAGCAGTCCTGCTACCATTATGTTTGGCTAAGGGGCCAAAATACAAAAACGCAAAGACAATACAACGTAAAGGTACAGATTCTGTGAGCGTCCAGGTAGTCTTACAGCAACTGTGTGCCAGGAGAGAAATTGAAGAGCCTGGAGATCGAACAGCCTGAACCACAGGCAGGATGCATCTCCCTGAGCAGAGTGTAAATTGCTGCAGCATTACAAATGTTATCTGCCAGTGTGGAAACATCCAATAAGTGGTTCAGATAGGAGAAGCAGGAGTGCACAATAGACAGCATGAGTTAGTTCATTCCATGAGCCAGGGTGGTTCCTGGTTTCCAACACAGACAGTTAGAACAAGAGTGCCCTGAATTGCCAGCTGCTTGCTCTGCTTTCCTTGATGTCTAGCTTATTAGCAAGTTAATGAGGGAGACTAACAACTTTTTCAATAAGTTAAACACCTTGTTAACATGTTAAAATCTTCATCCAGCATTTTGCCTCTGCCTAGGACAAATCTTGCCACAGTGCTTGTGAAAATGCATTTATAAAAATGAAGCAAGCTGATCTCAACATCAAGATGAGCCTCACCATACTTGTCACCCAATTCTGCCACACATCTTGCTCGGGCCCACATCACTCAGACCTGAAAGAAGATTCTGCTCAATTTCTAATAGTAGCAGATATTGATTAACCCACTCTCCTTATTTTACTTAAAACTGGAAGTCAAACACTGGAGATTGAGCTAACAAGAACAGCACCTCCTCTCCATTCTTTACCAAACTCCTCAATCACTTCTTGCAGTAAAACTTCCCTGAACAGCTCTTATAATATTCTATCCATTCAGCTATTCCCTGTGTGCTTATGTAGGAAAGCCTTCCGCAAGAGATTTGCAGGATAGTCCTGACTCATCCCGTAGATATTTTACTAACGTAAATCATAGTCATTATCACAGAAACAAACCCTTTGGTCCATGATCCCATACTAAACTACTCCCATGTGCCTGCTCTTGGCCTATATCCCTCAAAGTTTCCTATTCATGTACTTGTGTCTTAGATGATCCTCAGGACTTTCATTCTATATGTTATCCACCCCGTGAAAAAACTGCCCTCATGTCTTTTTTTAAAAATTTCTCTCCTTGCACCTTTAAAAATATGCCCTATAGTCTTGAAATCCCCCAGCCTAGGGGAAGACACCTACTTTTAACCCTATCTAACACAGATGCATAATCGAGAGGTTTATGTCAAGCCTAAAAGCAAATTGCACAATACAATATCCACATTCTGATTTGTTAAAGTCTAAATGCTGTGTAACATTAAAAAACAGGGGAGTGAGAGTGTAAATTAAGGCTACATGTAATGTAATAATTGCAGTCTCAAAAATCACTAAGAACAGGGTTTTAGTTGGAGATGGGAATCCTGCACCTTGTCACTCCACAAATTCTGGAATGTTGGTGTGGATGTAAAAAAATTAAGAAATATTTAATCTACAGTTACATACTGCAAATCATTCATGATTTTATTGTAATCAATGCAAATAGCACTAATTTCTCAAAAAAAGGTATTTACTAAAATTTCTTTTAATAGGAATTTGAAGCTTTCAAAAAGCACAGCAATGACCTGCTAACTAAAGAAATGGAAGTGAACGAAAAAATACGTCACCTGATTGACTGATGCCAAATTTCTACACATTTGTATTTTACCTTGCATTTTACAATAAGTTGACTAAAATTGTTCTGTGTACGAACGGTTATAGTGACCTAGTTTTGCAAGTTTATTTCCTCCATGCAAATACTATACGTAACAGGTAAAATGCAGTTTTGGGGTCTTCAGATGCGGTCTTTCCTATTTTTGTGCTGAAACCAATCATTGTGGTTCCTATTGCTTGGTCACTGCAGAAAACTATTCATAAAGCAATAGAAAATGAAAAATATGTTCCAAGCTCAGCAAGTCTCAGTCTAAAGATGTGGTGAGTGTAAGAATTTTCAATCGGAAGATAAGCTGTTATTTGAATGAGAAAAGTTGTATTTTTATTGCAAAACTTGATTTGAAAGCAAGTATTCAAGTTGTTATTTGTTTTAAATTATGTTCTTTAAGGGCAGGAAAGAATTTATCCCATGCACCTGTAGTTTTACTGTAATACTAATTGCATGGAAAAACCTAATACAGGTAGGTTTTACAAATTCACCTGCTGTTTTATCCACATAAAATACTGCATCCTGCTTATCATTTTAGACTCCAATGGATTTTTCCCTCCACATATCTATCTACAATAATACTTGTATTCAATTGATCTACTACAACAGGAACATTTCATTTTAGCTATAAATACCTCTTATTAACCAATATGCAAGTGTAAAAAGCTTATTTAATTCCACGGATGGCAATGGAACTAAATATCAGGCAATGTATAGAATGGGTAGCTGTCCATTTTGCCACACCATCTCAAATGAATTTCAAAGTCTTGACCTTTTACACAGCAAGGCATAACATTTTCAGAACTCAAATTTACATCACTGCAAAGTATCTTGCAGCCAGAACCAATAACTTCAAGGCCTTTTGACCTACCAGCAAAAAGTCTTCCTTTTCAATTTTCATCATGTGCTTCAGCATTTGCAATCCGGTTGCCAGAAGTGGCAATACGCAGGAGGCCTGAGAACAACTAGTTTGTTTGTTTTACTAGCAAAAAGCCCTGCACCTAATGCAGGCACAAGCGTTGCTTGACACATTTGGAAGCAATTCAGAAATTCAGGGCAACGGACTGGAGATGGATTTCCTTGTAGCAACTGGAAGTGAGAAGAGGAAAACAGGCACCAAAATAACCTTCAAAACAGATATCAAAATTTTGTTAATGCTTAAAAGTAGGTAGGTACTATACATTATAAAACCTGGAACACTTCAGTTGAGTTAGAATCTCTTCTATATTCTCTTAAGTCAGTTAAGGTGGAATGGTGTTCCTAGAGCAGGTAAATCAATCACCGTGCAGTCACATCTGGTGGAAAATAATTTGCGACGAAAAAAAAAAGGTTCAACTATGATGTTTCACAATCAATAGCCTGGTAATAATCACAATATAAACTCATAACTAGTCAGGTTTCTAGTAGTCAAATCTTACTTTAGCATGCAGTGTTCCAGAAAAGTGGGGTTTGTTAAACAGGAGTTATGCCAGCTAGCTGCTGGGCAGAATGGCAGTTCTGGTAAAGTAAAAAATAGAAAATAAATTCTGTTGTGGGCATATCTTATTTTGTGAACTGAAATGGTCGCTAACCAAGATACTTTTGTCAATAGTGGAAATAGTACCAAAATGAAAACAACACAATTTGCTGGAAAGTCTCAGCAGGTCTGGCAGCATCTGTGGAGAGAAATCAGACAATGTTTTGGGTTCAGTGACCTTTCTTCGCAACAGTCCTAAAGTAGATTAGGCCTAAAAGTTGGAGGCGGATAGAAATGGTCTCCAATCATGGTCACAACATTTGCAACAGACAATTCTAGGAGGATCTCTGCCACAGGTGGGTTTAGGAAGTTGTTGCAGTTTGCCAGAGTAGAGTAATTTCTAACTTAAGAATGTGTATTGTCATAACACCTATCCATAGTCAAGCAGATACATTATTCAGCTAAGTGCTGTGGAAGAAAATTGTGCAGTAAGCTAATAGTGTGGCTTACCATTCTATTTTCTTCCCATTCTACCTGGATTAAACTTGTGAAACTTCTGAATTCCACTAAGTGGAACTTCCAATTGTGTGTAGTCTTGTTTTGTCCAAAAATACATTCAACATAGTCAAATGATAGTACTGATTCTTCAAGTATCAATCTGGCCCAATGGAGGTCATAAAGACTAGTGGTAAAGCACCTTGTCTGAGGAGATTGAAACTGTGAAAGAATACAGTCTGTACATTTTTAAAACTTAACATTCATCCTTCAACATCCTGAAATGAGGAAGGGTATTGGTTATTATAGACTGGTCACAGGTCTCTTGGAAGGAATAATTGTTTATACAGCATCACTTCTAGCAATACCATTGAATTAATGTATTATTCCATGACATTTGCCACAATTGGCATGAGCCACAAGTAGTTGTCTACCACACTGCCTGCCCAAGGAAGTCAACATGTTTGACATGCTGTTATGAAACATCAAGGGGTCCAGAATTAACATTAAGGACATGCAGGCCTAATTCCATCCAACTACATACCACTTTGCCATCACATCTGATCTTTTCCTCGTATTGGGAGTCATTTCCACAATTGGTTTGAAGACTCCAACATTGGCCAGAATGTTGGATTTGGTACATTCCCATGAGGCTGTTGCAAGCTTAGTTTGTAAGAATATGTTCAGGTGTAAGTGAGCAGGTTGACTGGTATCAGTGTACCTTTGTCAATGTAGTGGTTTATTTGATTCACTGACTTCTGTGGTGATCTGACACAGCTAAGTGACTAGGACTCATGATACAAGGGGGTGTAGAACAATGGGTTCACAGTACATTAGTGTCCCTTCCTCTGCACCATGTTTCAAGACCCACTGCACTAGTAATGTCTCAACATGATCTGAGCAGGTGGATTTAAAATCTTAACTTGATTTGGGAATCCAACAAGATTAAAACACTGCTCATGCAAGTCGGGGTGGCTCGGAAGTTAGCGCAGTTGCCTTCCAGCCTTGGGTGACTGTGGAGTTTGCATCTTCTCTCCATGTATGGATGGGTTTCCTTCCAGTCTAAACATACAGGTTAAGTCAATTCTAAATCTTAGTCAAAAGTAAAGTTGTGTGCATAGGAGTTTTCTTTCAAAAAGCTAACATTTACTCCAGATTATTCATTATGATAGCTGCTTCTGAAGACTTGAATACATTTAATCCAAAGGGTTTGCATTTCTGTGCAAGTTTGAAGTTCACTGTCTTAATGCCACAAGGGGCATGTCATTGTTTAAGACATTCCAATTCAAAACCAGTCAACTACATTTAAAGTGCTTCAAGTATGGACATATTCCACCTCTAGTCAAGGAAAAGTAATTTAATAGTTACCCTTAAACTGGAACTCACTTCATATTGTGATTCACACCCAGTTTTGTTCACTCATTACATGTTTACCAATTCAAGTTTCCACATTTAAGACTTCATCCTTTGACATCTGTTCAATTTACATTTGGCCTTAAATTTTATACTGCTTCATCAATGCCTGCAGTAGCTAGTCCTCAAGCTCTCCAGGTCTTTACTGAACTTCCAAAATGTTCTTTTAAAAACATGGATGATTTACTGGATTTTAAACCTCAAAATCTTGATTACATTAAAGCTCATATTAAAGACAGACCCTACAAGGTTCAGGCCACAAACCATAAATTTATGTTAAAACAGGCTTGCAAATAAACATTTATGGAATTAACACCTGTCACTGTCAAGTTTATTGCATTTTGTGGTGCAGTTACAAACTTAAGATTCCATGTGGGCCACTTTCTCTAGACAGATTTGATATTCTGTGTTCAGACAACTTTTATTTTCTCATCTTTTGATTGTAGAAACATTAAATAACATTGTAATCTTTGTCAAGATGTCAATACATCTAAAAGATAATGCATACAAGCTACAATACAACCAGCCATTTCTGTTCGAATGTTAAGAGTGCTCTTCAGCCAACTTCTGGGCCTTGGCAACTGCTTCTTCAATAGGACCAACCATGTAGAAGGACTGCTCAGGCAAGTGGTCATATTCACCTGTTTAAAAAAGTGAGCCAATAAGTGAGAAAAAAAACAGAATTTCTATAGTGTATTTTGCAGAGTCTTCAACTACAACAACCTGAAAGCACTTTAAGTATAGGCTAGCAGGAAAGCTACAAATAACTTACCTTGAAGGATCATTTGAAAACCTTTGATTGTCTCCTTGAGAGGCACCAACTTTCCAAGATGACCAGTGAACACTTCAGCAACTTGGAAAGGCTGGGATAGGAATCGCTGGATCTTACGAGCACGAGCCACAGTCAGTCGGTCTTCTTCTGATAGTTCATCCATACCCAGAATGGCAATGATATCCTGCAAAGACTTATAATCCTAATGGGGGGGAACCAAGAAAGGATAACTCCACAACTGTGTCCCAATGCTTTTACCTAGATGTTTCAACTAGATGTTAGAGACGGTTTTTGTTTTCTCTAAAATGATAGAAAACTGAATGGAACATGCCCATTAGACAAGTTTTTAAGTGATGTAGTGTTCAACCAGTCAAAAAATAATTCAGATGATAGCTAATAGCAACTTCCCATGTCACTATTGAATCAATACTTTTTGCAGCAGAGCAAGTTATATTTAAGTTACTGTATAGAATATTTGCTAGATAGAAAGGAGGAAAAGGGAAGATTTTAGGTCAGATGTTAGCTATACAGTTGAAGTTTTTTTAAAAAACTGCAAGTGGAAATAAAGGTCAAGGAAAGCATTATCTCAGCTATTCTATACACCATTTGTTCAAAAGCCCCAATCTAACTGTGACCGTGGCCTAGGTTTTGTATCCACAATGAAACCCTCAAGCGGTATTGAAATAAATACCCTGACTCATTGCAGGAAACTTAACCCAGTGAATTAGTTCTGCCTTCAAGGACATCGATCTTTGGATAACACTACTTCAAAACCTTTTGTACAAAAATCTAGTTACATGCTTAGGATTTCAACATTTCAAACAATTAAAACAGACTACATACATTTGAGATTCACCTTTCAAGCTATTTTGCTATAGGTAGTAATCAAAACGTGTCATACCAGTGAAGCTTTAATCTTTATTCTTAAAGGAAAAACCATACAAACCTGTAGGATCTTCTGTACACCACGGGCAACTTCATAGTGTTCCTGCCCTACAATGTTGGGGTCCATTATACGGGAAGTAGAATCTAGTGGATCTACTGCTGGATATATACCCAATTCAGCAATTGCACGTGACAATACAGTTGTAGCATCCAAATGGGCAAAGGTTGTAGCAGGTGCAGGGTCAGTTAAATCATCAGCTGGCACATAAATAGCCTGAAACAATATCAATGCCTTAGTACAAAGCATAAATAGTACAAAAATTTACACTATCACATTCAGGAGAATCACTTTTACTATAACTGGGCCATTCAGTTGATGGCCACTTACTTGCACAGATGTAATTGATCCTTTTTTGGTGGTGGTGATTCGCTCTTGCATTGTACCCATGTCAGTGGCCAGAGTTGGTTGATAACCGACTGCAGAAGGAATACGCCCAAGCAAAGCAGATACCTAAAAATGGAGAAATTCAAAGATAACACTTAAAATATTACCAGTTTCAAAGTTGGTATTGCACTGAAGCATGCCTCAAAACATTTACCTCTGAACCAGCCTGTGTGAACCTAAAAATATTGTCAATGAAAAGCAGCACATCTTGGCCTTCTTGATCACGGAAATATTCAGCAACAGTTAATCCAGTCAATGCCACTCTAGCACGGGCACCAGGTGGCTCATTCATCTGACCATATACCAATGCTACCTAAGGAAAGATTGAAATCAAGTCAGAGGACAGAATTACCTACATCTACAGCAAAGCAGTTAAGAATCAGCTACAAAATGTAGACTGACATTTTTAAGAACAAAACTCCATATTTAATTGTTCAATGCCTGTGCCACAATATTAACTCCTATTCCTTTCTACTCGACTAGCCTCACCTTCAATATATTCAACTCAGTTATTCCACACAAATTGCTGTAAAAGCTCAGCAGGTCTGGCAGCACCTGCTGCGAAAAATTAGTTAATGTTTCAGGTCCAGTGACGAGTCTTTTCTGAAGAGAGGTTTTCAGCAGGATCACTTGACAAAGTGTTAAAGATTTCTCTCCACAGATGCTGCCAGACCTGCTGAGCTTTTCCAGCAATTTGGTATTGTTTTGATATATAGCATCCATTGTTCAGTTTTTATTCCACACAAGTCAGTTCCAAATTTGATGCAGTGCATAGTCTAATTTTTTTGGATTTATAAACAATCATCCATTCAAACCATTGTCTGTCATAGGTCTATAAAAGAAGCTTACCTAGTGCAATTCCCCTACTTTCCCCCCCCCACAAATAAGCCTCAAAATATAAGACAATGCATTCCAGATCACAACAATCTAAAGAGTTTTCATTCTGTCAGTCAATCATCTTCAATCTCTCCTAGTTCCTTGTCATTTTGCTAGAGAATTTCCTCTCATCTATTCTGAGAAAGTCCTCATTGTTTTGAAATGCCTCAGCAAATCAACTTCAAGGGGAGATTAATTCCAGCCTCCCCTATCCAAAAGTGACATTCATCCCTGGAGAACTTTTTCATCCTCCTGCATTGTCTTGTGCATCTTTAGACAGGATATGCTGAACTGGGTTTAAATAACTGATTGACACTTGTCTTAAAAGGTTTATTATTACTTCATTGCTTTTGTATTCCATACCCGCCAACCTCAGGATCTTCCATACTTTATTACCTGCTCAAAAACTGTCTATCTTCAATAACTGCAGAATCAACCACTAACATCTGAATAAGAGCTATGATTGGAAACCTGAACTCAATGGCAAGCTCAGTGGTTATATAACATTGAAAGTGTACATAAAGGTAACAGAAAAACCAAGTTATAATATTTAACACTTACCTTAGAGGTTGTATCTTTCAGATTGATGACACCAGATTCAATCATTTCATGGTACAAATCATTGCCTTCACGGGTGCGCTCACCTACTCCAGCAAATACAGAGTAGCCACCATGGGCCTTGGCAACATTGTTGATAAGTTCCATGATAAGTACGGTCTTACCAACACCAGCACCACCAAAGAGACCTAAACAGATTAACAGTAATCTTTAGCCCATTTTGTATCAGTGGTTTCTCTCAGAGCCGACTGAAGGAGATGATTGAGATGTATAAGATGAGGGACTAAGGGTAGATAGGAAGAATTTTCTTTGATTGATGAATCAATGACTGGGAGCACAAATTTAAAGGGGCAGAAGGTTTAGAGGAGGATGAGGGTTTTTTTTTTATTTCACCCAGATGTTGGGAAGCTGGAACTCTACTTGTAAAAAATATGGTAGAGGCAGAAACCTTCAACATTTCAGTATTCTGATATACACTGGGATGGCAAGGGACACAAGGCTATTGGCCAAGTTCAAGATTAGAATGGTTAGGTTGTTGTTTTGGCAGACACAAACGGGCCACAGGGCCTTTTCCTGTAGACCTGACTATGACAAGTCATAGTCATCTGCCTTGGTCAGAGTTGCTCATTTTTAATTTAGAATGAAATAATTGTAATCTGGTTAACAATTCATAAGTGTACTCTTTAGATTAATACGCTTTAGCTGTGCTTGCCACTATGATAAAGTTGTACAACTTCAAGTAAACCATAGCTTCAATTCAGCCAGGGCAAGTAGTTTATAATGAACTTTCATTAAGACAGTAATCTTACACCATGCACTTGCCTCTGATGCAAATATAATGTGCTCAAGTCTTCATGCTGCAGCCTAAAACTGTACTGAAGGCAAAGGATGAAAATGTTTCTTAAAATTAAAAAAGTACCAATACATAGTACAAGCATTTAATATAGGCCCACTCAAGTTGATTTTCAGTTACTTACCAATTTTGCCACCCTTGGCATAAGGGGCCAGTAGATCTACAACTTTGATGCCAGTCACCAAGATCTCTTGCTCAACACTCATTTCCACAAATTCAGGAGCTTCAGCATGAATTGCAGCATACCTGGTGCAAGTGAAACCCACAAACATATGCATCAACTATACATCTCAAATAGGATCACCAGATGACAACAGCTTCATCTGAAGTATTCTGCATTAGCCTGACCAATTCAATTTTTATTAAATTGCAAGTTTCTTGGACAGACCACTTTTCATCCCAAACTATATTTCAGTTTGGAGTATGGCTATTTCAGAGGACTTACAACTAGAAATTAGACAGATAATACATTCAAACTGATGTGTTCTTTATTACAGGTTGGAGGTTTAAGTTGCTTCTCACCATGTAGCAATTGTACAAATTGCAATCACCATAAAGACTGCACTCCAACCAGTTAGCTAGATTCATTTTCTCACATGTAGTCTTCCTACACATTTCCTCAGCACTGTCAAAATATTCAGATCATCCAATAGCTTGAAACCTTATGTTTGAACAAGTTAAACAAGTGGTGAACAGTACCTGAGAAGGCCCCAGCACAAAGTGAATTAACTCCCAGTGCACTGAATCAATAGAATTAAAG